TGAGGTTGTGTGTCAAGTCCTGGGTGGGCCACGGTGCTGCATGGCTGGGAGGCAGAGTCCTTCCTGTCCGAAGATGGTGACCCCTAGATGGAGCCAGAGGCCCTGTGATGTCGTGAAGCAGGGTTTGCACGGGACTTTCTAGATGTTTCGCGTACAGCTCTGAAGTAGCCTGGGCGTCTCGGGCCACGTCACAGTGCTGCTTGGCCGCACCCGTCCATGCTGGCGTGCGCACGTCCGGGGTGGACCCCGGTGTGTGGTCCCCCTCCCGCTGGCATCCCGCACAGTCCCCCTGCTCTTAGTCCCTGTGCTCCCAACTGCACGTGGAAATGTCAATGAGTAAGTCACGCCGCTTCACCCAGCCTCTATGGGCCGTGGCTCGCTCTCCCCCCAGAGCCCAGAGCTCTGAACAGTAGCGGTTTCCCTTCGCATATGTCGTCCTTGGTGAGGGGGTCCTGCTGGGTCGCCCCCATGGGCTCCGGGCCTGCAGCTGGGCTGCCTGTGGGGCCAGACCTGTGGCTGTGGTTCTGGGTCTGTGACGTGCGGCTCTGACACGCTCTCGTGCCCACACTGCGTGCTGGCCATGGGCATTTTGACTAGGGGGAAGGTTCTGGCCCACTGGGAAGTGTGAGCCGTGCCCGCCGCACCCTTGTGCAAACCGCCGTAGGGCTGCCCCACTGCTGCCTGGGGAGGCCGGGTCCCTTTCCGTGCGCGTGTGGGCCACTCGGGTTTCCTCCCCTGGCTGCCGCTTTGCTCAGGGACCCCCACATCTCTCCTGGGCTCTGCTCCTCCCACGGCACACAGGGCCCTTGTTTCCCGCCACACGTGTCGGCAGTCGTTCCCCAGGTGGCTGCTGGCCTTGCACTCCGGCGTCCTGTTGAAGAAATCCCGAACTGTGGTTAAGGGTGTGGTACGAGGTCACCTTTTCCTCCTCTGCTGCCCTCCCGTCCATGCCCCCGGGAGTCGTGTGTGCGCTTCTGACCCTTGGGTCCGTGGTTCCTGGGAAGATGCTGTCACGCTGGTGGCCAGCAGTCTGCCCCCCAGGGTGGGGGCCCAGGTGTCTGTCCCTCTTGCTGGCGCACAGTACGGGCCCCGGGGGAGCACTGCGCAGGGCTGCAGCTGGTATTCCTACAGCCACGGGGTAATTCTGTTTCTGGGAAGGGACAGAGCCCAGCTTTGTCCTTCAGGAGAGTCTTGGCCATTTGCCAATTTACTGTTAAAAACAGTAGATGTTTATGCCTAGAGTTGGATCGGAACGACGCTGTGACGCACCGGGTTTCTGGACTTGCTGTGACGAACACGCCGCTTGTCCAGCATCACGGTCCCCGCGGCTCTCCGTGTCTGCTGCTGTGCTCCCGGGTCTGCGCGGCCCTGCAGCCGAAGGGGTCGGTCCCCAGCAGACTGCCCTGGCCTCTGGCAGCGGCGACCAGCCCGGGCTTCCCCAGGGGGCAGCGTGGTGTTGCTCAGCTGCACGGGTCCACGCTGGGGAGTCCCCGCGGCCTCCTGGCCACCCTGTCGGATGCCCGCACCGAGCCCGCTCGCTCAGGCACTCACGGGATGGCTCCTAGAACACTGGGAAGTGCTGCCCTTGGGTTTGATTACAAAGGGTACAAAGCAGGACCCCTGGGAGAGGTCTGGGGGTGCCAGGGTGCTGCGCCGCACGCTCTGTAGAACACGGGGGGTCACCCCCCTGGCACGTCTGAGCTTGCGTCGAGGGGCTGTGCGGTGTCACTGCGGCATCCCTGGGATCACTGGCCCTGTGCGCGGTGTGACCGTCCCCCTTGCGTCGACCCCGGTGTGGCGGGGCTCCTGTGAACAATGTGCTCCCCGCCACGCACCCTGTGGGGAGTTCCAAGGACTCCGAGGCCCCTGCCTGAACCAGGGAAAGGGCGGACAGACCACCGGACGGCAGATGCCTTCCCCGCGGGAGCCGACACTCCCTGGAGGCCAGCTCTCTGGGAACGCCCCGTCCCTGGTACTCCAGCCTTTGACACGGTTGTAGGTGGCGTCTTTTTATTATCGTTGTTAACACAGGATGTGTTATTTGTTCCAGGGGTACAGGTGTGTGAGTCGTCAGTCTCACACAACTCAGCGCTCACCGTGGCACACGCCCTCCCCGACGTCCTCCCCGACGTCCTCCCCGACGTCCACCCCGACGTCCATCCCGACGCCCTCCCCGACGTCCACCCCGACGTCCTCCCCGACGTCCACCCCGACGTCCACCCCGACGCCCTCCCCGACGTCCACCCCGACGTCCTCCCCGACGTCCACCCCGACGTCCACCCC